TCTATCTGAATCCAAACATGATGAAACATGGTTGTTTTCTAGGAAAAAATAAACATGTAATCTTATGTGATGCTTTCGACTGTAATATTATGTGATGCTTTCCACTGTGGTGGTGGTTTGAGTTTTGCTGCTGCGAATCTAGATCATCAATATCCATGAATACTTTGATGTGCCAAGTGGGCATGCAATTACTAACTTAGTAACCACGGTTTGTAAACCGCCATGTAAACCATGGGGTAAACTCCATGTGCAGCCTGCAGGGCGTTGAGCTGGTTACAACCAGGTCTTGTGTCCTTTTGGAAGGAGAATGAAACCACCTTCACCATAGCCACTGGACCACTAGACGCGAAACGTTTTAGGCCACTTGGATGATAGTTTTTTGGTACTTTATGATTGGGATATATCGGGATATATCGAGATGATTGTTGGGTTATTATCGTTTCATATATGGTGATTTCCCAAGTCATAGGGGTACCCCCAAAACAATCCATTTTAGATTGAGATTTTCCATGAAAAACCATGCAGCGTTTTTGGGGTATCCCCATGACTATGGAAACCCCCATAGTTTTTCCTAAACCCAATCAGAAACCGAGGTGTTTGGCAATCGCTGGTCCTGGTGTGGTGGGTGATCCGCTCATGTTGCTGGAGCGGCTGAGTGGGAAACCTGCTGGAGCGTCATATGGGTTGAAGCAAAGGAGTTTTGGATAGTTTTGGTGCTGGAAAACTCGGAACTTGTTCCCCTAACTCTTCAGAGTTTCATCACCGAGCAGAGGATTGGTAGCAGCTTTGCAGATGTTTGCAGAATATAATGTGCCTAACTGTTGAATTAAGTAACTGAGATCAAGGAACAACTATTCAACTAACTATGAAAACTGATCCTTATTTCTTGACGATATTCCATACGAATTATATTCAACCTGCAGGAATATTTCACTCCAGATTCGCTCATGTATGGCATCCTTTTTTTTCAGGATATAGCAACTTAGCAACTCTAAAATAAACAAGTTGAACATCTGGAAATTGTGAGGCAAATATGATGGCTATACGAATTGATCACATCCAAAAAAAAAACAAAAGACACGATTGTCTTGGCTGAGAACTAGCCTCTGGTAAACGTTTACATAACTATGGAAAATCACAATGTTTAATGGGAAAATCCACTATAAACTGCCATTTTCAATAGCTATTTTGACATAACCAGAGGGTAGCCATCTATAGCCATCTCTCTCGGTGAAAACTGCAAGGACTGTGGAGCGCAGATCTCCAGGTTGCAGCAATTTCGTTTGGCCGAGGCGCCTGGGGAAGATCCCTGGAAAGAGGTCCAGGTCAGGTCCCGTCCCAGCCATGGATGGTCGGTCATTTTTCGGTTGCCGGAGGAACCGGAAGAACCACATTTTTTGGGGGATAAATGGATAAATCCCATTCATATCCCATATTAATAAATCATGAAAATAATCCATTAATATCCCATATTAATGGATAAATCATGATAAATCCAGTAATGTTCATATCCCATTAATATCCCATTGAGAACACCCATTGAGAACACCCATTGAGAACACCCATTGATATACCATTGATATCCCACGATAAATCCACATTTTTGAGGTTCAACGAGCGTTGACGACTTGTTCCGCTGTCCGGATCAGGGTCATTTGGTGACGCTCGGTGAGGGGGAAGTGCCTTTGTGCGTATTCTTGGATGGCCGGGATGCTGAAACAGAGCATGGCGCTTGCGGGGTTGAAGCGAAAAAAACAATGGTAAGTGTAATATGTAAGGTGTATAATGTATGATGATGTTTTCTGGTGATATGTGGATGGTTTTCTTGGATTGGCTGAAGATGATTGCTCTTTTTCCCATTGGTTAATCCACCATTTTGGGGAACTACGAAGACTTGACATTTCATGGCCCCCGAATCAGCAAATCCCAGTTTCAACATGTTTCAACTAGCAAAAATCAATCTGTGCAAACGGGCCTGGAATTCCAATGAAAGAAGTCGGTTTCATAGCTGACCCCTGGTTGGGTTGCCCAAAATCCCCTCAAATCTTTTCACCTGGCCACGTGTTCCCTAGGCGACAAGTTGAACTTGGTCGACTGCGAGAAGGATCAGGGAGGTCATTGACTCAGCTTCGTTCTTCCGGGTTTCTGAGCCAACAAATAAGGTGGCACCACCTTGCAACCTTTTGCTGTGTCTCTTTTTGACTATCCACATCTATCATAATCTATCCATATTCACTGCTATGTCTGCCACGTGTTTTTCTTGGAACCAATGGAAAGCGGCTGAAATCTCCCCTGCAGGGAAACGTTCTGTCGTGAGATTGACAGGAACCCAGCTGAAGGGTAACTCCTCGAAACCTCAGATGCAACTGAGGCTGGACCTTCGAAAAGTCCTACTTCAGAAGCTATGGATGGTTGAAACGAGGCGAGCCCTCTGATCATATCCTCATTGCGGTTGGAATCAATCCCAACTTTGGATCAATCCGAATTTTTGTTGAAATCGGGATTTTTATCCCGGTAACCCCTGACCAGGGAAAAAGTGCCTTGGTGTGCAAGGCACTATGAGTCGGCATCTCAGACCCTGCCACGCCAGGGACGTGAGTAGGTTGCAGTTGGATCCACTAGTTGTGTTGTTGAGCCAGGAAACAGCAGGTTTTGGTGATATGTTACTTTGCACTTCATCCAATGTTGTGCGTATATCCATGTATATCCTCATTGTTATTGGTTTGACATTGTTCAATCCTTATTGAAACCATCATTTTCATTGGTGAATATCATTGAAACCTTCCCATCCTTGTGGTTTTTGACTGCGGGCTGAGGCAAAAAGATGGGATCTTTTGTGGTTCCTGAGAGGCGGGACCTGGTAGATCTTCCCTTCAATCCATGTCAATCCATTGGGCCATTGGAAAATTGTTGAATATGCGAATCCGATTCTTCTGCTTGAATATGTGGCGCTTTTATTTTTTGACTTTCAATGAAGGACTACAACAAAATGAGCCCAGGATATCTCGGGAATTGAAGAATCAGCATGGGACTAGCGGGCTGCCCTTCTGAGGCTACACAAGTGGCTTGCACAAGTGGCTGGGGTATGGCTTGCCAATGGGGTAGCGATGAACCCACGACAGTGGTCTTTTTAAGACAATCTAAGTATTTCATTATTCCAAGATATAGTCACTAGGTCTGAGCCATAGAGAAAGGACCCCCATAGTTAAGTTAGTTTCTAAGTAGGTCAACTCAGATTTGAGATGATTTGAGGTAATTAATGAGGACTTATAAACGAAGAACCATAACTGGGCCACTTTCTGTACCCATCTATGGATATCTATGGATTTGAGTCAGGGTTTGTGCCCTGCCAGTTGCAGCTACCTGCCGTTGTCCGCCCGGCCCTCGGACCAACCAAGCAGTGGCTGTGGTGATAGATTTTTTTTTGGTCACTGATGGTTTATAGAAAATATGGTTTGATGATATGTGATGATATTTGATTTCCTTATTGAATCCTTATTGTTCGGGAATTCCAGGAAGAGACAGGTCTTGTTGAGAGCCATCTCCGAGCCGACGTTTTTTGAGGACCAGAAATGGTACTGGACCGAAGACCTGAAATGAGCCACGCAGCCACAGATCCAGTGTCCATTGAATGGTGACGATTAGAAAAATCCAATTCTCTGCCAAAAAAGGGGGGCAATTCTTCATCATGACAGGCAATGGTCGGCTTTATCAATATGTCATAATATCTCACTTGTCATACTGAGTCAATCTGAGTCAGCCTTTTCTCGATGAGCTGCCAGTTGGTTTCCAAAGGGAGGCGAGCTGTGGAAGCCCTCCAGAAGTGAGGCAAAAAAGATGCTGCTGACCGGCTGACCAGATGGGTTGCGCCTTGTGGAAGTCTTTGGGCCGAAGATGTACCGATGCATCAAGAGTTTCAAAGCGCTGTGGCCGCGTTTTTTGGGCTCCAGCTGCACTTGAATTCACGTAGAAAATCGAAAGAATGGAACCAAGGGCATTCCTTCAGGAATATCCGAGACCTTGTTCCATCAGGTTGGAACGATAAATGTGATAGATGATAGTCTTCCAAAGTTCCATGTCATTTCATCTCCCCATTTGGACAACTTCACACATCGCAGCCCGGTTGATGTCCCCCCAACCCTACCAAAACAAGGTGAACCCGAAAAATTGCCAAAGAAAACCGTCGAAACCGGAATGGATTTGGTGGACGCAGAGGTCAAACCCATTTGGGCCCAGCCTAGGCCGGGTCGACCCAGCAAATTGTCCAATACCATGCCCTGGTGCACGGGAAATCATCAGATTTGGTAGTAGGAAATGGTTTGTGTGCACTAGAAACAGCGAAACTTCCTGAATGTAGAGGGCAAAGTGGATAATGTGATTGCAATCTGCAATCTCAGTGTTTTTGGATACAAAGCGACACTTACTCAATGTTTTTCGACTGCAGAAATGCTCATTCAGAAGCTGTGCAGCTACCACCCAGTGCGTTAAGTCAGTTAAATTCCTGTCGTGACGAGGCAGCCCCCGGACGCCCAACTTCCGCAGTTGAAACTGCCAGTTTCTGGCCAAAACTGGTGTTTGGGGCACCCTGGACGACCCTAATCCCAGGAAAACCATGGGTTTTTTGACCTTGCAGAGTCTGGTACTTCTTGTATCACAGCAGCCGAAATTGAGCATAGTACGGTGCAGCAGAAAATGGGTTGTGCTCCGATGGGGTTATTTCAGGGAATTTGGAATTGGATCACAACACCAGTAAGCCAACATATTACCGAAGTTTTTCCCACTTGGAAATCGGATGACATCGGGGACTGTGGAACCCAGGGATATTCACTATCCATGCCCATCCTCGCGGGTTATCTCCAACTCCGTGTCTGTAGCTTAAAACATCTTAACACTTAAAATATCTTAAAATATGATCAAAGCAACTTGTTCCAGGTGAAAATGACTTAGATTCCATTTGTTTTCTCTGAAATTCATTGATTTGGGGCACTTAAGAGGGCCACTTTCCTTGGCATCTCGGCATCTCGCCACGGTCTCCAGGTTGCAGGGGACTCGGGGACGGAAGTGGAATCAGCTTCAGCTTCAGAAGATGAGGTCCGGGGGGCTGAAGCTGAAGCGCCGTTGTTATTTGACCTTCGGCTCACGAAAAACCACTGAAGGTTTGGATCTTATATTTTCTGATGTACGTTTGTGTTCACAATGGTTTGCAGTTGAAATGTTGGGTGGGTATCGGGCCCTGCAAAATTGTGACTGATGAAATGGACATCCTCAGCTATCTCGCTGAAATTTCAGCTGGAAACCCAAACTGGGCGTCCCAATTGGTTTGGACTTGCACCGAAATTGTCTAAACAACTTCCAAACCCATGGGTCATTTCACAGGAGGGATCAGGAGGGTGTTTAATCTTATCATATCCTGAAGTCATTGCCGATGATTTTAGGGGATTCGAATTGGGTGTGAACATGTGTGAGCCAGCCAAAACCAACGTAAGAGTACCAAACTGTACCATAGGGGACCAGCAATTTTTTTAAAACCAACTTTTGGGTTATATATCTCGATTTTGTGTGCTGTTCTCCCAATTTGTGTGTTTCATTTTAAGATTGTGTATAGTCTTCTCCTGATTTTGTGGATCAAACCCTCTCCCCGCCTGATGTATCGCTGTTGTCCCAACGAAATTTGCCATCCATTGTTGAATCTCCATGTTTGATGGTATCAAATCAAGTTATATAAATCCCTATTTTAGATGGCAAACATTGCAAACGTGTCCAACAAACCCATGTCCATATTATTCATTTGTTAAATCCCTAGATGAGAAATCTTGTTTCAACAATTTTCTCCAACTTTAGCTGCTTACCATAGCATGTTCCTGGTTTGGTATACCCCATGACCTTCACCCCCTCATAGGATGAGATTCCTCACGCACCCATCGCGACGAACTTGGTGGGCACACAAGAGCTCACACTGCCCGGAGCGACAGAGGCACTGGGATTACTGCCATCTCTGGCAGTGCTGGTCCAAAATTGCAAAAAAACACGTATGATTACCCCCCCAAATTGGATGCTTCACGCGAATTCTGTGGGTACACTTCGGAGCCCCAAAGGGTTACAAGGCGATTGATGAGCATGTGCTATCTTCATCTTAGAAAGTGGTTAGTACAGACTGTGCTGAGTGATTTCACACACAGTTTTGATTTTCAAATCCTACGACTCAAGCATCAAAGCCAGGACATTTTGGATCCCATGACTAACTTGTATGTCGTCATGTAAGTTCAAGCGCATGACATGTGTTGACAACAAACATGTTTGCGGCAATTTCAACCGGCACGTGTCGAAAATTTGTGTCAAGTGATCTGGTGTCCATGATTAAGTTATCGGCATGCGCTTGGACCTTCTGATCTACAGTTGTTCAACGCCTTGCGCATGTGTCCTTGATGCGGAAAGATACGACATCGACTTGAATAATGCACATCAATGCACATCAATGCACATTAATGCACATTAATGCACATTAATGCACATTAATGCACATTAATGCACATTAATGCACATCAGGTAGGCAAATCAGCTAGGACTCGAAAAACGAAACCGCTCTCCCACCATCTAACCATGCAGCGGCCTGGCCGGGAAATGTATCGCATTGGAACACATCGAGGGAACACACCTAACCATTAGCGCGTTTCTTGTATGGATTTATAACGTAGCTATGGAAAGATCCACCATTTTTAATGGGAAAACTCACTATTTCTATGGCAATTTTCAATAGCTATGTTAAATTACCAGAGGGTAATGATATATAGGATGTATAGAGGGAATACATATAATTTGGACATTAATGGACTAAAGGGTCTATGAGTCTATTCATGATATAGCAATGGGATCCAATGGCTACATCATTAGTCAATGGTGTGATGGATGCGTCCAGGCCGGCTTAGATGAGAAGGCCACTTAGTACATGCTGCAATCACTGGGCTGGTTAAAGGGAGAATTGAAGAAGGAAAACTTAGGTTTACCATGGTTTACATTTACATACATTTACATACATTTACATACATTTACATATATTTACATACATTATCATACATTATCATACATTTACATATATTTACATACATTATCATACATTATCATACATTTACATATGTGTTTATCATCATGTACGGGGTTTCCTGTCAATTCCCCTGAAACCACGGCAATGCTTCGGTGGAACTCTACCGGCCAGAGGAACCAGAGTCTCAGTGCGAGACGCTGGAGTCGCAAAACGGAAGTGGCCTGGCAGCCTTGGGGCGAAACGATTTTCTGTGGCCCCAAAATTGAAGCCTACGCTAGCAAACTCAGATAGCCATGGGCAACAGCCCGTTGATATCCATTTATAGATGATTTACTTGTAACAAATGGATACAAATGGTGATTTCCATAGGGTTCCATAGCTGTGTTCGTTTATCAGAGGGTAGCCAAAACTTTATCTTCGATGGTGGAAATTGGGCTGATTCTACCGACTACGGCATATAGACCCCATGAAAATATCCATGAACTATAGTGATATCATGTATATAACTATAGTCAACTATATACATATATACATATATAATCAGATATACATACATACATATATATATATATACGTAAGTTGGGATTATCACGTTGCATCTCCCAGAAGCCATAGACTTCACCAAGTTACGTGAACGAGACATTTGGACATCCACGAGACGCCTCTGAGGTAAGCAAACTCCCCCGCCAGCTTCGCCCCTCGGCAGACGAAGTCCACGCCTTGAATAACGGTGTGTGTGTGTGTGTGTGTCGTAAACACGTACGTGTTGGATGATCTATCTGTACGTGTATATGTATATATATATATGTTATATAATTCACACATAGATTTTGATATATGATTATATATATATATATACATGATATATATATATATATATATACATGATATATATATATATACATATACATGATATATATATATATGTGTATATATACATGATATATATATATATACATGATATATATATATATACATGATATATATATACATGATATATATATATATATACATGATATATATATATATATATACATGATATTATTGGACACGTAGATGATGAGATGTGATGATGTATATACAACGATTTTGGATTTCAACAAACACATACCTATTCACAACATCCATATGGTAGTTGATCATCGCTGGTCCGAAAACCCCAAGCCGTTGAACTTGGCGAGGAAGAAAGGACTCTTCAGAGACCTGAGGAGTAAGATCAAGAAGAGTGCCACCACAAGCGGCTTGTCAGACCGGGACGGGAACCAGCGGTTTGAACCGGTTGTGCGGTTGTTTAACTGGTTGGGAAGTGGAAGGTTCAACATCAGACATTGGATGATGGTATGGGAAAAGCTGCAAAGCTGGTTGATTTTGACTTGGTTCTTGATGAGCAACTCTGATTTTCAAGGATTTGATTTCCGAAACATGCACATGACATATCCAGTCGGGAGTGGTTGGTTTTATAGGGTAATGTTCACCTATAAATGGATCACCTTTTTCGTACCAAGCACAGTACAGTCCCGGAAGAGACGAGAAAGTGGGTGGGCAGACGGCTTAAAACGAAACGCTAACGGTTAACTGATGATAGAAACATAGAAACTATGATCGTCCATGATAATGCTAAAAACGGGTTTCAATCATCGATGTCCTTTCCCTCCTGGTCGTTAATGGACGAGTCATCCCAGTTACTTAAACAACAAATAGGTAAACGAGTCGAGAAGTGGCCCCCTCCTTTGGCGAAAGCTGGAAAACCCAATAAAGCAATCCATTCAAAACTAATTACGTCTCCAGGACGTGATGGATCATCACCAGCAGAATTCAGGCATGTTTCGGAAGACCACATCGCAATCGGAACAGAGAAAGACGATACTTGGCTCAGGGTTTGGCGGTGACATCGGCAGAGCGGCAGAGTTGTGGCTGTAACGGGCAGAGCTTGCAGTGGTGTTTGTGGTTGAGGTTCTCAGCTCCGTTTGTGAGCAGATGCTCAAATTAAAAACAGAAATTGCAGGGAATTGCCAGCTTCAGGTTGCTCCACAAAGTCGCTAGTCAATGGGCGACCTAATTTTTTCACAGCGTATCACAGATTGGAATATCCCCAGTGAGATGTCAGATTTTCATGAGTCAACCAGGTCAACATAGGTCAACCACTTGGGATTCGGCACTTCAGCCAGGTACCCCCATGTTCTCATGCCGCCCTGCAGCAGCCTGCAGCCAGGACCACCTTCTTGAACCGCTCATCGACCCTGGCGAAGGGCCCCATTCGAACGGAGCAGGAGGGATGCCGACAACGCCTGGCGCAGTTCGTCAACCGCCCTGGCTTTGAGGCGCGGCACCGGAACTCCGCTAGTTCCACTGCATATCAAACAAACATACTACACGTGTGTATATATATATAATGTATGGATACACATAGTGCAATGTATTATAAATAGCATGTTTTATTTGCAATAGATAGTGCAATTAATTCATATGTATGTATTCTAAAACAATATATATATATAATACATATATATATACATATATATACATACATATATATATACATATATGCACATATAATATATATATATATACATATGTGTAGATTATAGATGATACATGTTACCAATGATAGATGTATATCTGTAGAGGCCCATATGTACTATAAATGATATATATATATATGTATTAAAACAAACATGTATTATCAACAATACATATCTTATGAACACTATGCATTAGGGACAATAGATATATCGTAGTGATTATTCGCTATTATTAGTAGTATATATCTACATGTATAATATGAATAAACTGTATATAATATAGCAAGTGATGGAAATCACACCTGGCATTCAGAAATTGCCAGCTGTTGTTGCACGTTCAGTATTCTAATGAATTTTGACATATTTGCTGTTTCTCCAACAATTTGGTTTGAGACTTAGCTGGGAATTGGCGATCCATGTGCAAACTTCAACGGGTCCTTTTGCACAAATGCGCATCATGTGCAGCCCAAAATGGGGGGTTCTAGCCCTTCCAATCGCTTTTTCGAGGTAAAGTGTTGGACATTTGGGGTCGACAGCTACTTCTTTTGATCAGACTTATAACTGGTGAAGGAAAGGTTAAGCTGAATTTCCAAGCTGTCATGGACGGAAGAGAGGCAGAGGGTGTCCAAGGGAGGGACCGAAAGGCAACCCCCCTTGCCCAGCTCGGTGAATCCTGGCCCAGCTGGGTCTGAACATCGGGGGGATATCCCAAAAAAAGGGGAACTGATATTTTCTTCCAAAAGATCAAGGGATCTCCAGGGGGGGTCTCGAAAGTTTCCGACTAACCTGACGGTGACTGCAGTTGACATTTGCGATCATCATCTTCGTGAACACCATCCTGATGGCAGTCCAGGCAAGGAGTGGATCAGTTCTTTAAGGTTAGTAACCCTGGTTAGTGCTCCAATGAGATTATCCCATTTATAGCGGATTAGAAGCCTACTATCCAGTTACTAGGTGGGGTGACTAACCAGTGTGATTTCACCCCACAATTGGGGGCAATGAGAATCCTACTTGGAGGAACGGTGCTATATAATTTGCGTGGGTCACTATAATATGTACATGCACAACTATATAAGAATCTGCTGTATAAGTATGGTATATTATGGTTGAAGCCCATGTCTGAACTTACGGGGAGGCCCATAATACAGATAGGGGGGTATCGGTATATGTATATATATATACATACATATATTTATATACATATATACATATATACATATATACATATATACATATATACATATATAAATATATACATATATACATATATACATATATTTATACGTATATATGTATATATATATATATATGTATTATATATACATATATATATATGCATATATATATATATACACATCATATATACATAAACATATGTATATATGTTTATATACACAGAATCTACTTTTTGAAGTAAGGTTGCAACAGTTGATGCCGAGCGACTTTGAACGTCAGGTGCAGTACCGAGGCCTCAACGTGGGTCACTTCCTGAAGTATCACAGCGTTGAAGTCCCCGCCAGCGTGCCTGCGCAATGCGAACGAATCGTCAAAACATAGGAGTTGATGGAATTTTGCTAGGATTTTTATGTGTTGTTGTTTCTTTTAGTGTGATTTTATGGGATTCCTATGGGAATTCTACGGGATTTTATGGAGCATAATGGGATATATGATAGGATTGATAGGTGATCTGATAATGATTACCCTCTGGTAATCAAATGTGGCAATTGAACATCCAAGGTTTTAATGTTTGTTTTAAAGGGAAAATCATTGAACTCAATGTTGCACCAAGTATGTTTCGGGTGATTTTTATGTTTTTTGTGAATTTGAGGGGGCATGTTGTGATGATCAAAGATGAATCATTAGGAGAATATGCCCAAAGCCTGGAGAATTTGGCGAGTTAGGACTTCATGGGAACGAATCTTGCGGCCAAAGTTTGCTGTCCCATAGGTCCAGCTAGGTACATCATGTTGTTCGATTCAGGACTTTAACTGTATGTCTATGTATAGTATTGTGTATAGTACGAGTATATATGTACGTGGATATGTCTCCAAACAAGTGAACAGTTTCCAAAACCCAGCAGTACGTGGGTCAAAAGTTTGGGAAGAAACACAGGACCCAAATGAACCAAAAAGATGCACGAGTTTCCCCAATTACAGTGATCCCCGGCAAAAGATAAGCAAAATCCGACTAGAATCTAGAAGTAACCTACCAAAAAAAGAGAAACGTCAAATCGGACTCGAATATATAGTGGTATTTCATGGTATTTCTTCTAAATCTCCTCAATTTGTTTGGAGTTTGCTATCTTGAAGCTGGCTCAGGAAGCATGGCCCCATGCTGAACCCGTCTTCTTTGGCCTGGAGATGTGTTTCGGAGTCATCTTCACAGCAGTGCCGCGCCGGATAAAAAAACACCTGTTGGTTGATGATTTTTTGATATTTTTTGGGGATTGAATAGGGTTTTAGGCATCAAAATATGGGATATAAGATGATATAAGTGAGCAAGTTGCTGATAAATGATGGTTGGGACTTGGGACTAGTTCATTCCCATGAACGGGAAATCCCTATCATACACAGGGAATATCAAACACTGCTCAAGTGCTTCAGTTTCTTAAAGCTTGTTGCAACTGAGGAGATTCTGATGAAGATCATCGCTCTGGATATCAGCTTTATCTATGATCCCTGGAATATTTTGGTGCCTCGATTGCAGTGGCAAAATGCGATCTTGGAACAGAATGGGAAGATGCTACCCTGCAGTGAATCTACATGTGACATAGATGTGGAAAAGACATGAAAAGACTATGAACATCCGCTACAGTATTGTTTCTTCTCCTAAGGAAACGATTAGTTGACAAAAGTTGACATCAATATGAGTTTACCCCAGGGTAGTATATGTTGTTGTTTTTTTTCCAGATAAGTTGTTAATTGGGTTGGACTGCCTGATGATGCCTGATGATGGGGCCGCCAGTCTTCTTGCTTTTCTCATGGATCTTCTTGATGAAAACCACTGGATCCGCTTGAAAAAACTTCAAGAGTACCCCAAATCAAGTAGTGAAATCACTGTCATCATTCGTTTCTTACAGTATATAGCGGCTATAGCATGGAGTAGGTTTTTCATGATGGTTAATGCAAGTTCACCATTTTGACACAACCCAAATATCATATTGTGCATAGTGTGCATATTCTTGGTTTTTGTATATGTTGGTATAAAATTCAGATCCCCATTGCATCCCTTCACCAGTTGAATCTGTTGGTTTCGATGTCACGGCAGGATTTCTTAGTGGTGCTGGCGTGGTTCGTGGACACTATCGCTCAGGGTTTACTGCCATTGGACCCTCTGATGCTGCGGCTCTTGCGATTGGTGAAGCTGCAGCTCGGCTGGAGAAATCCCGGATGGTCAAGGGTTGTCAGCCACGAACAATCCTTGATGGGAAGGGGACAATTTCTTGACATCATAAATGATGCTTCATGATCAGTCTGATCAGTCAGTTGATGTCAGTTGTTAAGGTTCTTAACCTAGCTGGTTTTGTTGAGATTATCATGATTCAAGATGGGAAACCTTATGAAACAGTAGGTTTGAAGTTTGGGGCTGCCAGGATGAAGTGAGCACCTCACAGGAGTCCCTATGAATGGCCAGTTTTTGAGATGGCCAGGGCTACTTCCAAGACTTAGCAGTGCTAAGGGTGACGAAACATGACGAAACCATTTTCGGAGTTAGCTGAAGTATTAGCTGAAGTTGTGCTGGAATCACAATTTGCTGAAATCCTTTGATAGAACGTGTTGCAAGCTGCCCTGTTGCAAGCCAACATGATCAATAACCACGAGAAAACTTCTCAAAGCTGATGAGAAATCGCGGGCACTGACAGATTGCTCTCAAAGTGATCTTAGCTGCATGTCTCAACATCCAGATTCAATGTTCTATCTTAAAGCATAGATCGAACATGAAGGAATCATTTGAAGATGTGTGGTTCTTTTTTGGGTCCTATGGACTTTTTTTTACCTCTCACTGTGACATCCAGATTTCTCCATGTTTCGTGGTTGCTATAAGATGGGGATGATTGAACTCACCCTTCCCGTGTACAGCACGTTGTTGAGCCGAGTTTTCGGATGCTCCGTCTGGTGAGGACGCGTCAATGTATAATGGTGGGAAAGAGCTGCCCGATCCAATCTGCCGAGCGGTTTCAAACGGTTTCAAGAATGATTGAATTGGGATGTAATATGTTTAATATGTTTTAATATGTTTTAATATGGTCTGATATGGTCTGATATGGTCTGATATGGTCTGATATGGTCTGATATGGTCTGATATGTGAAAATGGTGATATTTCACCAACTAACGAAAGTCATTTTTTCTTTGTGTCTGAAAACGGTGGATTTTTTGTCCCCCAGGCATTTTTTCATGGTGAAAATGATGAGACAACCAGTGGATTGCCATCAAAGTGGAGGCTTCCCCTTCGTCATGAGGGTACCCTCAAATCATCGAAGCCATGAACGACCATGACTCAGTATTGAAACCCCCATGGTTTTTGGATCCCCGACCGACACGAAATTCCCAACCATGTTTTAAATCCAAGACGATGAATCGACCTGCAGGACGATTCAAGGTTTCGACTCGCTATATGTTGATGCCTCAGTGGATCCGTTGTGTCGGGGATGATCCGGGATGAGGAAACAACTAGTGAAACTGGTGCAACCGGTACTGGGTGAGTCACCTAGGTTATGATCACTGCAATTCGGGGGAGTGTGGCAGCCCTATTCTGGAGCACCATGTTGCTTCTTCTGGTGCTTACCACTGTCTCTCTATTCCTGCAGACCCTCGGATCAGAATCAGGGCAACGGACCAGAAAAGTGCAAGGAAGCAATGCACGTGGCAGTGGATGTCTGACAAATAGTGCCTGAAAATGGGATATTCCCCGCAAGTAGCAATTTGATTAGGACAATGATCATTCATGACAGTAAATTTTCACGTATTTTCGGTACACCAATGTACACAAAATAGTCAGACAAACCCATATGATCGGTAGAATTTCTTAGCAGCGTTTTTGAGTCTGCCACAGGACCATGATGGAACCCTACATCAGTAGTAGTGAAGAGGAGTCCAGACGCTTGGAGGTCTACATGTACTTTGGTACCTTGGTCGTAGTTACGTTGATCCTGGAGGACTTTGTCATAGATGGCCTGCTACCCTCTGATACACTAACAGGTTTGCTATGGAAAATCACCATTTTTTATACGTAGGTAAATCATGGTAAATCATGGGTAATCATGGTAAATCACATAAATTGCCCATGTTCCATAGCTATGTTGGTGTATTGGAGGGTACCTCCACATTATCGAAATCATTCATCCGAAGACATCCGAAGACTTGGTCCGAGCAAATATGCTGTGCCCAACATGTGCCGTTTTTAGTACGACTTCGGTCTCCGCCGTCTCCGCGTGCCAAAGAATTTTGGCCCAACTTTTTTTTGGGGAAGTGGATCACTTGTCACCATTTTGTCACAATGGTGCCATTTTGTCTGGGTCAAAATGTAAGAGCTGAAATCCCCAAAACTTGGCGTGATCAAAGTGTTTTTCCCATCCAAAAATGCCCAGAGTTGGTGAAGATTGTCCGATTTTGTCCTAAAAATGGTGGTGATTGAAAAACAGAAGGATGAAAGTATGTGGAAAAAATTCTTGAACATATTTTTTATTCTTTAAACTAAACCTCCATAAAACTTGTGATTTCAACCGAGAAGTCGGCACCAACTGGTCATTTCTGAATAAAAGCCACTCGAAAACCTTCATTTCTAAGGCTTCATTTTGGGATTTCTCCATGATAAAATCCCCGTGATTTCTGCCATCGCTGAGGTACCTTTTCCAAGGCCATGGTCTCGCTCTGCGAGATGACCCTGGCCAGCTGGCCGACGCCCTCGCGGGTTCTCACGGAGTGCCCTGGATTGGGGCGAAAACTCGTGACGGGCGCCCATAGGGGGCCGTTAAGATGAATCAAGATCCATTAAGTAATATGGTAATTACCATCATTATACCATCATTATACCATCATAATACCTGGTGTTATACAATATGGATGGTATATTATGATTAATGATGATTAATGATGATTGATATGGTATTATGATGGTATATTATGTATGGAATTATGTAGTACATTTATTTAAGATCCGTTAAGTACCAATAAGCATAGGGGTATTATGTACCACTTTTTTCCCAGAATCTGATTAGGTATCAATGATCATAGTGGTATGGTGTACCAGTGTACCACTTATGATGGTATAATTTAAGCCACTTTTTATCCATGGTCCAAATAATCATAGGGGGGTTGTTTCATTATATCATATTATATCCCACTTATAGGTGATAGAGTCAGTGTCAATCATTCTGAATGGGGTGATGCGATTTTCAAATACCATTTTTCGAAGCTCATTAAAAGTCGGTCTTTTAACTATATGTGTTGCTGTGTTTTGCTATGTGTGACTGTGTTTTACTCACCAAGTTTGATGATGGTGTCATCGTTTCACCATGTGACAATGATGACTTTCAGAAACCAACGGTGGCATTTGATGTTCGATTTGTTTCACAGGTTCCACGCAGAAAAGAAGACCCAACGGAAGAGGATGGAAAATGGTGGTGAAATGGATTGACGCCTCAGTAAACCCACATTTTTTTGGCAGGTTGTAGTAGGGGTCCCCAAAAAGATATAACTTGCAGGATGTTATAGATGATTTTTCCTCCATCATTTCGAGGTTTCCAACTTCTCAACATTTTTCTTTGGGTTACTAATACAAAAAAGAGGTGTGATCTCTGATCTAGCCATGATGTACTGGTGGGGAAATTTGGCGCTTGGTAGGTGGCCCACAAATGTGCGACATTCTAGAGATACTGGGTGGTGCCCCGTATTGTTGAACGTTCCAACTTCGCAAGCGCATTGAGAGAAAGAAAAACCTCTAGGAAATAGGAAGTGTTGCTGATGGAGATGCGTGTCTGTTTGATTATCTGATTGAATGCCTGAATGACTGACTGGGTCGCTCAAAACTTGCATGAATGCATGACTGAGTGAAATTGGATGATAACTACTGTAGTGCCTCGAACACGTGGCATTGCGCGTGTCTGAAAGCTCTTGAACGTGAGTCGCCGAGAATTATCTCTCAGATTCAAAGTGACAACAAAACGGGTGATCCCAGTTGTAAGTGGAGAAAACCAATATTTAAAAATTGCACCTTTCAATCAACACGCGTCTTTCTAATACATATGAATATATATATATATATAATTATATTATATATGTATATATATACATACATGTATACACATTAGGTGTATCTCATGTTTTCTGCACAGAAACACCTTGCTGAAAATCCATGTTTTGTCGGTTCTTCCCCACTCTAGTTCCAAGTGCGCCCAGGAATGTGAGCGAAGTGTGGATCTTCTTCGTTCTCAGCTTCCAATTGTTGGTGGGTTTTTCAGTACCTTGGCAATTGGAAACGGACGCGGCAGGACGACGTTGAGTCACAAGAAAAGCCAATGATTTCACCTCAATGGAACGTTGATGGGTGACCGAAAATAGCACGGGAAGATCAAAGATGATTTGCATGGTAACCACCCATGTGTTGGGAAGACTGCCTCATGTTGATGTTTCCGAAATGTTCTCATGTTGACGGCTGGTAGGTGATGAAAGTCATCATGGGCGTGTTTTTACAGATCACGTTTTACGTGGCATCCAACGATGATGTCATTATGATGAGCCAGAAAGAGAGGCCTGGAAAAACTGGGAAAGCCTTGACAAGATTGGGTCGGTCCCCGTCGGTTGGTGGGGTAAGGGGACACATGTCACACCCAGCGAAAGATTTTTTTCCGGCATCTGTCAGGTCAGGGCCTCTAGATTTTATGGTATGGGCCTGTCTTAAAACAGTGTACCTCTAAATGATTATGTTTCTTCATGTTCCCCTTCCTACAATGGCTGCACCCCTAAATCATCCATTGCAATGGGATTTTCCATTGTAAACCATCCATTTTGGGGTGCCCCGATTTATGGAAACCCCTAAATGGTCATTTTGAGGTATACTGGTATACCTCAGATTCTTCCCCTTTGCTCTCCTTCTCATTTGCTCGCCTCTGCATCTCACGAAGAACGAGAAAAACGGCCTTCAATGTTTATTTTCCCGTGACATGTCAGACAGGTTTTTTTATGCAGGATATATGTCAATCTGCCAAGACAATCCAGAACACATTTCAGTGAAAATGAATAATAATGTTTATCATTCCAGTGATGTTTGTTGGTTTATAATCCCATTAACTATAGATATATAATTAACTATCATAGTTTGTTGGTTTATAATCCTATTAATAATAATGTTTATCACTATGTGGATAGTCTGTCGTTTTTTTCATGACCTATTGCCATAGTGATGTTAGTAGTCGGTGAATCATCGCAATTTAAGGCCAACATTGTCAGCTATTTTCAGATTAGTGAATTACTATGACTCAGCCATATAATATATATTTATATAAATATATATATATACACATACATATATGTATATATACATAACATTTGTCTGAAACCATGTCAATACAAATGTCAGTCAAAATGTCAGACAGATGCCCGTATAAAAGTCAGATATTCCTCAGTAAATATGCCAGACAATTAATGTTAGACACGTGGCGTAGTATGCATGTCATCTGTCAGCGCGTCAGTGCATAGATCAGGCGTCGTATGTCAACACGTCAACACGTACGATGTCAGTCCATGTGTCTAAGACAAAGGTAAGTATTTATGTCAGTAACATTTGTCATTAAAAAATTCGGCCTACAGACTTGGTTTGCAGTGTTTGCAGGCAAATATTCCAGACATGGTCAAGATATCTGCTACTTGTCATTTTGTCAGTACCCATGTCAGTATGTCAGGAGATGTCAAGCCAGCCCAACAAGGTGGTGCCCCGTGATGTGAATGTTTATAAAGCCCATAAGTATAGATATATCCGCTATGAACCATAGTGAAAATTGAGTTATGTTCACCAGCTTAGACGGCACTGCCTTGAACCAATGTTTGAACGGCATACACTTTAACGTTCTTTTAAAGGAACAAACATGTGTAGTTATTTGCCCATGTTTGGTCATTTTTTGCCCATGCCCTAACAAGGGGGTTTCTGAAACTGGTCCTGAAACCATTGCTTTCCCCATTTTTCAAATCACCATTTTTGCTGCCAAAAAATGGGGTCTAACCCCTTGATCATCGCAGGGCCGTGCGGGTGCACACCAAGAAGATGGAAGCCCTTTTCGAAGCGGCGGACGAGAATGGCAATGGCCGATTGGATCAGGTCCGGGTGATCTCATTCCTGCCAGCGATTCAACAACGCTTGTTTAAGCCTTACAAGAATCTGGGGAATATATATATATACATACATATATATATAATGGTGTCAAGAATGTTATATATATATTCTAATATTATTATTTTGAAATATATAATAAGAAATTTCAAGACCCTAGACCCCTTAGATGTAAACACATATAGTGCTGTCCCCTAAAATAAATCCACCTCAATGGCCCCGAAAATGAACCGACAACAACACTGGGATTCAAACTGGAAGAAGAAAAACGCGCTGTGCCCTGATTTGAGACATCCAAAGTTGATAGGTTGATAGGTTCTACCAGGTAGAACCTATCAATTTTGGGTAGAACCAATCAACTTTGGATGCATGAATTGATGGATCATGGTTTCCCCCCAAAAAATGATGGCCATAGGAGGGATTGAATCCCTCACACCCCTTACGCGCGCTGCCCAGCAACCAGGACGAGTTTGAAGGGATCCTCCAAGACCCGGCCTGTGTGGCGTGGCTAAGTGTCGGGGTGCCCAGTAAGTGGACCGAATGGAGGATCGGGAATCCATGGCCTGGGTGATTGACCGAACTTACGGAGACTTTCCATAGCCAACTGTTGAATTAGAGGGTACTCATTAGTTGTTTTTTCTTGAAGTAGACACATCTGTATGGAACTTGGAAAGTGATTATGACTTCCTGCTTCTAGAACCACATGATTTTTGTCGCGACATCACAAAGGTTTACCAAGTTAGAACCCCCCATAGATGGTGAATTTTTCAGGGGAATCATCCAAATGTTGGCCGTAGATAGATACTGTGAAACGATTGAAACGAAGGAACCACACTTGACTCCAAACCATCCTGAGACAGAATCTGAATGCCATCTGCCTGATGGCTCAATACGGTAGGGGCCCCAGAGTCATGCGAGCTTAGAGGCAGCGAATCCAATGGACTTGGTGTGACCAGCAAAAGTTCCTGCGCTGCTCTGCTGGGTTTCTCAGTGGTAGCGGTGAGCCCTGGGCCGACCGGGGCAAGCTGCAGGCAAAGGACAAGGACCATAAGTACGTGGATCAATGCCAACGCCCGATGATGCGGCGCCTCCTGATCCTGCTAGCGCTATGGCATCTTCGCAGGTGCAAGTGGCTGCTGGAGGACAGGCTGAGGGGGCTGGGTTTGGGTTCCGTGATAGGGAGCCACCACCCAGTTATGATGGTGAAGAGCCAGAGACATCATTCGCTTTGTGGGAGAGGAATGTGCGTCTTTGGGAATATGAAACTGACGTTCCTAGAGGCAAGAGAGGGGTCAAACTCCTTAGAGTGCTGAATGGCACGGCCCGTATGGCTGTGGAAGAAATGCCTTTTGAAGAGATAGCATGTGAAGATGGAATGAGAAACATCATGTCCCGTCTTCGGGAGTTTTTCCAACCTCACTTGGAAGTCTCCTTGCCACGAGCCTTTGAACAAGCAGTATATGGGCAGCAGAGGCAGAATAGAGAAGGTTTTGGAGAATACATAGCCAGAATGGATAGGGCATTCAACCGGCTAAAGAAAGAGGGAGTTGATTTGCCTGAGTCTGCACAGGGGTACATTTTGTACCGTCAGGCTGCTTTGAGCGAGGCACAGGAACAGAGGTTTTTGGTTTGGTCAGATGGACGATATGATCGTCTTTCAGCCGTCAAGGCGTTGCGAAAGTTGGACAAGGTTGTGAAGGAGAAGGGCAAGACGGCCTACCTTGTGGACGCTCCTGAGAATGAACAGGTTGGCCTCTTTGACGATGCCGAAGTGGACTGGTTCGAGGATGACGGACCAGATGCAGAAAACTACGTCTATGTCCAAGAAGGAGATCTCAGCGAGATCATGGATGAAGAGGATGTCCTCTCTGCTCTTGCCTCCTACAAGGAGATCAGGCAGGCCATCAAGGACCAGAAGAAGGGACGTGGCTTCTATGGAAAGGGCGCCACGGCAAAGGGCAAGGGCAAGAGTGGTGGGCGCTGGCAGAAAGTCCACACCGAGCAGTTGAAAATGCGCAGCCGCTGCTTCAAATGCGGCCAAGTCGGCCATTGGAGCAAGGAGTGCAAGAGTGACGTCAAAGGCCGATCTTCTGCTCCGTCCAACCAAGGAGCCTCAGTGTCATCGGTCTCAACGTCGAGGTCAGGGTTCTTTGTTGCATCGGAGCCGCTCAACCGTCAAGAGGGCGGTTCGGCGTTTTGGCTTCGAGAGTTCATAGCAAGCAAGGCAAAGACCCAAGATGCGCGGTCCCGTGGAGAGTACAAGGGTGAGCAGAGTTTTTGCGGGATTTCAACATGTGCACATCATGCGGTGGTAGATACAGCAGCAGAAGGTGGTTTGATTGGAAAGCCGGCACTTGAAAGGCTTGAGGTGAAGTTGAAGGAGAGAGGTATCAAGGTGAAATGGATTCCCAAAACTTCAGCGGCAAAAGGTGTTGGAGGTCATGCTACATGTTTAGGAGTTGCACTCATCCCTGTCGGCATTGCGGGTGTCAATGGGCTTTTGGAAACAACAGTGGTAGATGGCGAAGTTCCTTTCTTACTTCCAATTCGAATGCTCACTGGTCTCAAGGCAGTCATCGATCTTGAAACCATGAAGATGAAACTCAAAGAATACCAAGTAGAGATACCAATGCATGAGCTGGCAAGTGGACATGTCACAATTGATGTCATGGAATTTGAGAATGGCAAGTTTGTCATGCCGATGAATGTACCTGGATGTGTAGCTGAAGATTTTCAAGTACCTCACAGTGCTTGGGCTTGGCATGAAAAGTCACTGCATGGCGCCGGAGATATGGCTCAATCTAGTTCAAAGAGAACCAATTCGAATCCCGAAGTGTTCAGCTCTCCAGCAGCGACCAATGGCATCTTCGTTGCTGAATCAGCTCAAGAAGATCGGGAACCTTGGCGCCTCCATGGTGGATCCGATGGAAGTCCCAATGGATGTGGCACCGCCAACACATCACTCAAAGAGAGCAATTCGAGGGTGGCGCATTCTCCTCGACAAGCTGGGCATGTTGCTGGTCTTCGCAAGTCTCCAGCAAATCGTGGACGAGTGGTTTCCACCGTCGCAGCACTCGCCTGGCTCACACTTGGAACACAAGGAGGAGACATTGGAGGACGTGTATGCGGCCATCATTGCGGGTGCGAAGATGCTTCCGCCTCTCAAGTCAAAGGAGGTAGCCAAGACTCCAATCAGCAATTGCGTTCACCCAAAGGAGAGATTGAAGGGTGGGGGCAACGCTTCCAGCTCCTACATAGTGTGTCGGGATTGCCTGGCACGATGGCCGAATCATCTACCTGCAGCAGAGATCAAGAAACAGCTCAAGGAGAACAAGGAGTTGGCAAAGAAAGGGGGCCTCTTGAGTCAACCGTTCCAGGCGCTTCATCCAGCTATGCAGTCGATGGGGCAACAGCAGGCACAGATTCAGCAGCTTCAGAGGATGCTGTTGGAAGAACAGAAGAGGAGCCACGAAATGCACGAGAACATCCTGCACAGCCAGATGATGAGACAAGGTGCAACATCGGCAGCACCACCGGCAACACCATCTTTGAGTGCGGTGGACCTGGTGGCAGAGGCATTGATCAACAACCAGGACTACGACCCCGCCATTCATGGGGTGCCGGTGATGAAGGCATCAGCAAAGACGAGGAGCGCTCCACACATGACGGAGGATGTCATCGAGGTGGAGAGCGATGGCTATCTGTGAAACAGTTTGAGAACGGCGGTGGGTGGTGCGAAGTCGCCACAACTGCAGCCAGGCGATCAGCCAGGCGAATTCAAGGTCAGACACAGCATGGCCACGGTGGAGTTCTTTGTGGCGCTTGGTTTTATGAGGTTCACAGGGATGGACATTGGCAGAGAGAAGAAGGTTTGGTGCCACTAAGAACTGAAGAGAGGATGCGAGTCTGGTTGTCCCTGTCAAGTAGGAGTAGCTTGGAAAGTTTCTTTGAAGATGACAAGGGCACGAGTTTTTCCAACAAGGATAGGAGACTCTTGAACAAGGGCGTTGAAGCGCTTTATGGAAAAGGGTTGAAAGATGCAATTGTTTCAGAAGTGTTTTCCCCGCCAAGAGTGGCGAAGTTGGCAGGAGAGCGAGGATTGAAGCAAGGAACCAGTTTCGATTTGGAGACTGGATGGGATCTTTCAACAGCAGAGGGTCGCCGCAGAATGTGGAGGCGACTTCGGGAAGAGAAACCGGAGCTTGTCATCGTCTGCCCGCCTTGCAAGGCATTTACGGTCATGCAAGCCCTAAACCTTTTCAAGATGGAATGGGCCAAGGCGGTTGAGCTCATCGAGGTTGGGCTGGACGACTTAGAGACGGCGGCATTGGTGGCAGATTGGCAGCATAGGAATGGAAGGTACTTCGTGTTTGAACAGCCGGATGGAGCTCGGTCTTGGACAGAAGCTTGCATTGAAAGGTTGGTGAGGATGCCAGGGATATGGAGAACAAGGTGTGACATGTGCGCCTATGGTATGGCAGTAGGCGATGAAGGCTTCAACTTGAAGCCCACTGCCAACTCCTCATGCATTTCCAGAAGAATGAGTCGAAGATGTCCAGGACACCAGCAGCATGAGGCACTGCTTGGTGGAAAGGCACGGAAGGCGCAAGTCTATCCAAAGGAGTTCTGTGAGCAAATCATCAAAGGAATCAAAGAACAGATGCGTCAGGATGGAAGGTTGGCAATGCTTGCCAGCAACTATGTCTTTGCCGGAGAGGACGATGAGGTAGAAGATGAAAGAAGAGCTTGCCCCAGCAGCAAGCCTGAGGAGGTTATCGGAGAGAAGGGAGGAGCCGGCAGTCAAGCGCTCAAGAACAGGCGTCGGTCCTTTTCACAGAGGGCATGTGGTCATCCACCTTTGGCAGAGTTTATCCGCTTCATGAAGGCAGCAAGAGTGCGAAGTCTATCCAAAGGAGTTCTGTGAGCAAATCATCAAAGGAATCAAAGAACAGATGCGTCAGGATGCAATGCGCCAGCAACTATGTCTTTGCCGCAGAGGACGATGAGGTAGAAGATGAAGAAGAGCTTGCCCCAGAAGACAGCAAGCCTGAGGAGGTTATCGGAGAGAAGGGAGGAGCCGACAGTCTGAGCGCTCAAGAACAGGCGTCGGTCCTAAAGCTTCACAAGGGCATTGGTCATCCACCTTTGGCAGAGTTTATCCGCTTCATGAAGGCAGCAAGAGTGCGAAGTGAGGTGGTGCGTTGGGCGGCAAAGAACTTTCGGTGTGAAAGCTGTGAGGCCAGGTCTCGAACAAAAGCAGTGAGACCAGCCACCATCCCAAAGACCTTTCAGCCAAACAAAGTCATTGGAGTTGACCTGATTTACATACCTGCAGTTGGAGGACAGCAACAGGTGCCAGCATTGTCCATTTTGGACTGGGGAACTAACTACCAAATGGTGGAATTGATTCCCAACAAAGAGCCAGGCACCGTGTGGCGGACACTGTGGAGCTGTTGGGCAAGAGTTTTTGGTCTCCCTGAAGTAGTCGTCTGCGACGCAGGAAAGGAGTTTGCCTCCGAGTTTGTGAAAACAGCCTCCGCAAATGGAATTGTGATTTACCAGATAGGGGCTCGGGCGCCTTGGCAGAATGGCAAGACAGAGCGCCATGGTGCACACTTTAAAGAGCTGCTGGAGAAGGCCAGAGCTGAGATGGTGGTCACTGAGGAGGCGGAATTGAGGAGACTGATGCAAGAGGTTGAAAGTGTGAAGAACAGGTTTTCCAACAGATCAGGATTTTCTCCCATTCAACGACAAATTGGCCAATGGCCAAGGGCGCCCACCGAGATCACTTCAGACGAGGTGATTGACCCAACGCTGGTGGCAGGTGCCTTGGTAGATGATGTCGAACGAATATGGGAGATGCGAAGATTAGCCCAGAAAGCCTTTGTCGAGCACAACGCTCGAGCAGCAGTTTCCAAAGCTTTGAGGGCTCGCAGCCGAACATCTGTTGAATACCAACCTGGAGACTTTGTGTATGTGTACCGGGTCCACCGCCAAAGAAAGCGAAAGGTCGGTGGAGTCGTGGACATTGACCACGCCAAGAACAAACCTACATGGGTCGGCCCTGGAACGGTGGTAGCACCAGATGGTGCAAACCTTTGGATCACAGTTTGGGGCGAGCTTTGGAAGGTTGCAAAAGAACAGTGCCGCTTGGCTACAAACATGGAGAAGCACGGCGTTGAACTTGTGCTTAGGGAGTGCAAGGATTTAGTTGAAGAATACAAGAAGACCTCCAAGAGGGCAGGCTACAAAGACATAACCAACGAACCTTTTCCTGAGGATGAAGAGGGGATGCTGGAAGATCAGCCAGAACATCAAGATGAGGATCATGCCCCGAGACAGGTCAGGTTCAACGACATAGCAGAGGAAGAAGGCTACTCCCCAAGCATTGCGGAAGATGATCCGCCAGCGGCAGAAGTGAGGAGAGCTTCCAACTCTTCAAGGCAAACCATTGAAGAGCCAGAGTTTGAGCGCAGTGATGTTCAGTCAATTGGCAGCGGACAGAGCATGGAGTCCACAGACTCCGGCAATACTCCACAGTCCCAGTCTGCTCCTCAAGTACCAGATCACCAGCCCACTCTGGAGCAGGTTCAAGACCCAACTTTTATGGAAAGGGTGCAGGAATCCACAGCGAGTGCCAATAGGTTGGATGGGATTCCATCCAACGCTCCAGCGCCAGTCAGAGGATGGAGGATCAGAGAAAATCGTACTGATCCCTATTTCACTGAGTTTTGCTGGGTAGAAGAGCGCGAAGCAGAGGAGTTTGAACTGGAAAGGGCCCGAGAGAGGGCAAGCTTTTTGGTCCAAAGTGCAGCACCAACAAAACGGCAAGATTTTTGGGAAATTGATGTTGAAAAGGGGCTGGCAGTCAAGCATCATGTGAGAAAGAGACAAGCACTTTTCAGTCCCAAGCATGATCACAGTTTGCCTTTTGCATTGGACAAACTGTCCGAAAAGAGATACACTCAAATCAATTATCTCGCCAACCGTCCAGCCGAGACAATCGAAGACAGCTGGATCAAGAAGGGATCTACAGCCAAGCGCGAGACATGGTGGACCGGTACCTCCACCTTCGCGCTCAAGAAGAAGGCTGATGGCGAGGAGGTAGAGGCTCTCAACGTTTTGGCAACTGAAAAGAGAAGGTCAGATGATGTAGACATGAGAAAGGAATGCAAGAAAGATTTGGCAGAATGGAGGATTGCAGATGCAGAGGAATGGCAGAAGGTGACGTCCACCGACGCAGTCAGAGTTTTGTCTTTAGAAGAATCTAGGCAGGTCAAAGCTCAACTTCAGAAGGAGGGCAAGATTGACAGGATTTTGCCAACCAAATTTGCCAGAAGGTACAAGCCGGCAGAGCAACCCGGTCAACCTGCGGTGAAAAAGAGTAGGCTTTGCATTCGTGGAGACCTAGATCCGGACATATTGACCTTGGAGAAGTTTTCACCAACTGTCAACACAATGAATCTTGCAGTCATGTTTCAAATCGCCGCCAATGAGAACATGCTAGGACAGATTGGAGACCTCAAGAATGCGTTTTGCCAAAGTGGGAAGTTGGAGCGGAAGAGTGGCAAGCTGTATTTTCGCATGCCGGCTGAAGGAATTGATGGAGTTTCAAGCGAGCAGCTGGTCGAAATTGTTGCAGGTTGCTATGGGCTCGTCGACGCTCCTTTGCACTGGCGTCGCTCTCTCACCGATTTCCTCAAGTCCCTTGGCTACATCCAGAGCCGTTTAGATCCATGTCTCTTCAAACTGTATGATGATCAGAAAATCCTGCAGGGCATGATAGCCATAGAGGTAGACGATCTCTTCATGGTAGGACACAGTTTTCATTTGGAGAAGATCCAGCAGTTGCGTGAGAAGTTTGTCTTTGGCAAGTTTGTGACGTTGAAGGAGACTCCAGATGGAGCTGCTTTCAATGGTAGAAGAATCAAACAATTGCAAAATGGAGAGTTTCAGATTGACATGCAGAAGTTTGTTGAAGAGCGTTTAGGAGAACTGGTTTTGGAAAAGGGCAGGGCATCTCAGAGAAAGGCCGAGGCCAACGAGAAGGAAGTCAGTCAAGCTAGGGCAGTTTGCGGTGCACTGAACTGGTTAGCAAAAGAGGGAAGACCTGACGCAGCAGGGCCATCAAGTCTCATGTCATCAAAATTAGCCACTTTGAAGATTGAAGACATCCTGTTGCTCAACGAGGTGGTTAGGAATTTGAAGAAAACATCAAAACTTTCACTTCGTATTCAACCCCTTCGCAAAATGAAGTTCAGTGTCGTCAGCGATGCCTCATTTGGAAATGATCAAATGCATTCACAAGGTGGTCAAATGATCTTGTGCCATGAGGATGGACTGCAGGAGAATCAGCGCGTGCGCGCCAATCTTCTGTGCTGGCGAAGCAGCCGCTTGCAGCGTGTCGTAAACAGCACACTGGCAGCTGAGACCCAAAGTCTATCTCGTGGACTGGGAGATTTATTGTGGGTGATGGTCCTGTTTGAGGAGCTACGAGACCCTGATTTCTCCATTCGAGATTGGCCCCAACGACTGAGCGGCAGTGAGGTTTTGGCTTTGGCATCTACTTCATCTTCTGAGAGGCTTAAAGGTAGTTTGGCGATAGTTGACGCGAAGAGTCTCTATGACCAACTGTGCAAGGAAACAATCGGTGGCCAAGACAAGCGAACGGCCATTGAAGTACAGATAATTCGTGAGGATTTGAACAGCCTATCGGGCAAAGTCCGGTGGGTGGACCACCAAGCTATGGTGGCTGACACACTTACAAAAGTCAAGGGTTCATGCGAGTCTTTGTATAGATTGCTTGCGTCTGGGGAGTTTCAACTGGTGGCAGAAGAAGACCACTTAAGTGCAAGACATCAGGCAAAGGAACAAGGGCAGACCAATACGGATCTGCGCCGGTTTGGAGTCAACAAGATTTTGGGGAGCTGTGAAACGATTGAAACGAAGGAACCACACTTGACTCCAAACCATCCTGAGACAGAATCTGAATGCCATCTGCCTGATGGCTCAATACGGTAGGGGCCCCAGAGTCATGCGAGCTTAGAGGCAGCGAATCCAATGGACTTGGTGTGACCAGCAAAAGTTCCTGCGCTGCTCTGCTGGGTTTCTCAGATACCAATCATCATGATTTAAACCGAAAAAGGTATGAGAATGCTTTAGAATGGCAACCTATGAAAAACCATAATTTTGATACTCAACCACAAGATTAGATCATACCAACCACAGGCCTTTTTTTGCCAACAAAAGGTGCAACTATCATCCTTGATTAGGGAAAGCATCCCAAAAAATGGTAGACTTAGATTTAGATTGCCATGGCATCATGCCAGCCATAATCAATTCGCACATTTGGCTGATACAACATTTACCAATGGGTGTGTCGATTGAAAATAGTGTGGCCACAAAGTCTCGTGATTAATCTCTTCCCCTTAACCTTAAACACTTTTCAGAGACCATGGTTGAGTAGGACATAGTAGGACATAGTAGGACATAGTAGGACATAGTAGGACATAGTAGGACATAGTAGGACATGGTAGGACATAGTAGGACATAGTAGGACATAGTAGGACAAGTAGGACATAGTAGGACATAGTAGGACATAGTAGGACATGGTAGGACATGGTAGGACATGGTAGGACATGGTAGGACATGGTAGGACATGGTAGGACATGGTAGGACATGGTAGGACATGGTAGGACATGGTAGGACATGGTAGGACATGGTAGGACATGGTAGGACATGGTAGGACATGGGAGGACATGGTAGGACATGGTAGGACATGGTAGGACATGGTAGGACATGGTAGGACATGGTAGGACATGGTAGGACATGGTAGGACATGGTAGGACATGGTAGGACATGGTAGGACATGGTAGGACATAGGACATGGTAGGACATGGTAGGACATGGTAGGACATCGTAGGACATCGTAGGACATCGTAGGACATCGTAGGACATCGTAGGACATCGTAGGACATCGTAGGACATCGTAGGACATCGTAGGACATCGTAGGACATCGTAGGACATCGTAGGACATCGTAGGACATAGGACATGTAGGACATAGGACATAGGACATAGTAGGACATAGTAGGACATAGTAGGACATAGTGGGACATAGTAGGACATAGGACATGGGACATAGGACATAGGACATAGTAGGACATAGTAGGACATAGTAGGACATAGTAGGACATAGTAGGACATAGTAGGACATAGTAGGACATAGTAGGGCATAGTGGTAGGGCATAGTAGGACATAGTAGGACATAGTAGGACATAGTAGGACATAGTAGGACATAGTAGGACATAGTAGGACATAGTAGGACATAGTAGGGCATAGTAGGGCATAGTAGGGCATAGTAGGGCATAGTAGGGTAGGACATAGTAGGGCATAGTAGGGCATAGTAGGGCATAGTAGGGCATAGTAGGGCATAGTAGGACATAGTAGGGCATAGTAGGACATAGTAGGGCATAGTTAGTAGGGCATAGTAGGGCATAGTAGGGCATAGTAGGACATAGTAGGACATAGTAGGGTAGGACATAGTAGGGCATAGTAGGGCATAGTAGGGCATAGTAGGGCATAGTAGGGCATAGTAGGGCATAGTAGGGCATAGTAGGACATAGTAGGACATAGTAGGACATCATAGTAGGGCATAAGTAATGTAGGACATAGTAGGGTAGGACATAGTAGGGCATAGTCATAGTAGGCATAGTAGTAAAAAGGGCATAGTAGACATAGTAGGACATAGTAGGACATAGTAGGACATAGTAGGACATAGTAGGACATAGTAGGACATAGCATAGTAGGGCATAGTAGGGCATAGTAGGCATAGCATAGTAGGCATAGTTAGTAGGCATAGTAGTAGTAGGGCATAGTAGGACATCATAGTAGGACATAGTAGGCATAGTAGGGTCATAGTAGGGCATAGTTAGTAGGCATAGTAGGCATAGTAGGGCTAGTAGGGCATAGTAGGGCATAGTAGGGGCCATAGTAAGGGCATAGTATAGTAGCAATAGTAAAGACATAGTAGGGCATAGTAGGGCATAGTAGGGCATAGTAGTAGGGCATAGTAGGGCATAGTAGGGCATAGTAGGGCATAGTAGGGCATAGTAGGGCATAGTAGGGCATAGTAGGACATAGTAGGGCACATAGTAGGGCACATAGTAGGGCATAGTAGGGCATAGTAGGACATAGTAGGGCATAGTAGGGCATAGTAGGGCACATAGTAGGGCATAGTAGGGCATAGTAGGGCACATAGTAGGACATAGTAGGACATAGTAGGACCATAGTTAGTATAGTAGGATGTTTCATATTGGGGGGATGGGATTCGTCACTGTATGTTCCATTCTTCGTCTCGGATCATTGGGAGCGAGACCGTTGGGTGATCGTTGGGGTGATGCCCAAAAAGGGGTGACGTTGGGTATGCCACTATGACCGGATGTAGAAATTGTGCTTTCTCCGGGTTGCTGTGATGGTTTATGGCATCACGTTACTCTATGGATGCTTCGATGTGAATCAACGTTTTAACCCAGGAAGAAAGCAATTTTAATCATCCCATTAGTAAGTAGTGGAATCCCATGAGGAAGTCATGGATTATCCAAGCATGAGTATCCAAGTATTATCTGAAACCCTTCTTTAGATACTTAGACGCGCATAGTTAGTTTTAACCGGGGATTATCTTGATCCCTTCAGGAATCAAGCAAGGCTTGCTGGAAAATCCCCTGTTGATTACTGATAGATGATTTTCCCAGCTAGAAACCAGTTCGGGAAATTCCCAGCTTGCCATGTTTGATGACACGGGAGTGTCGTCATTATCATATATATATATATACAGATTATCATATATTCATATATCATATATCCCATTTTATCCCATTATTGTCCCATAGAATCCAGGCAAAGATCCAATAGAAGCCCTTTTTTTACATCCAAGTTGTGTGGCTCATACATCCCATTCACATCCACAACTGCAGAAATCACATGACATTATAATGGAAGATCATATATTGTCATGGTAGGTCATAAAGATAAATAATATAGATAATTAATGCCATCCATTAACTATAGATATTATATGATATCATAGATGATTCCAATAGTGTAGATATTCAAAGAACTATATATTCAATCTATAGTGATGTTATTCCAATAACATTAATAGATATTCTATCTATCATATCACTATAGATTAGAATAATAATATTATAGTGATATATCACCCATATGATAGTGATATTATTCCAATATTCTATAGTGATATTCTAACTATCAGCTTGGTGAATAATATATTCCAATATATCCCGTTAGATATCACACTATTAGATAATAGGACTAATATTCCAAATATTACTATAGTTTATAGTGATAATATTCCAATATATCAATGGGAATTCCAGGATCCTAAAATGGAGGTACGTTAGTACCATATTTCTGGCCATATTTTGTGGTGATATTCCCTGAAACATAGGCCTGAAAAATAGGCCAAAAATATATGGAATCGGTACCTCCATTTTAGGATCCTGAAATTCCCATTGAATATACCCTCTGGTAATTTAACGTAGCTATTGAAAATGACCATTAATAGTGGATTTTCCCATTAAAAATGGTGATTTTCAATAGCTATGTTAAATTACCAGAGGGTATCACTCTTTTGGGGATTTGCTGGGATCCCCCATCGTTAACGGACACACTCCGAGGCCATGGGTCTTGAGGCGTCGCTGATGTCCAGCAAGGCGGTTGCCCCTTTTTTGTTTCGTGCGTGCCATGGTGCCATGGGATGTGGGAAAATCCGAGGAAAAAACCCAGAAACTTTGGGGGGACCTATGAAAATCCTCTATTTTTATGGGAAAATCGTCATTTTCGGAAAGCTCCATAGTGCCATAGACCTCGCCAACAGCGATTTCCATGTCGAGGTTTTTTTTTTTACCTCCAGCTGTGTGACACGTTGGCACGTTGATGACCGTTGGCACCGCGGCAGGACCTCTACAAGTTGCTGTGTGCAGAAGGTACCGACGATCTCTCGGCCAACGAGTTGTGCACGGGCGTCGCAGAGCTCAAGGGCAATGTCCGGGACCCAGGATCCGAAGCGATCCAAAGTCCACAGGGATGAAATATCATGTTTGACCATCCTGGAATCCTGTACTAGATTATTATTGCATATATTGTTACAACTAGAATACTCTTATTACATATTATTGTGGATTATTTTAGATCATCACAGATAGTTATTGATGACTAAATATTATACTTGATATAGTCTATGGTCTATCATACATGATGTTTTTGGTTTGTCAAGAATGTGCTGATATACAACAGCACTTAAACAACCGTGGTTTCTTGCTGTATCCATCGAGGCCACAAGTCTCAACATGGCCCTGTTGCAGCGTGATCAGCTGAAGATCAAGGAGCTGCAGACAGCGAAGATGGTCCGTTGTGGATGGGATGGTGCTACCGATGCTACCGGTACCCTATGTACTTTCAGACCCAAATGGTTGCTTCACGCAGTATTATATTGTGCGTATATAGAATATATTATATTAATATTATATATATATATACATTACAACATATATATATACATACATACATACATACACACACATATGTTTATGTGTGTGTGTTATACTATATATATATACAATAATACTTATAATGTATATACGCACACAGCTGTAGTTGATGCCAGCGGTTTGTGACGGCTTGGAACCACCTATCACTCAAACCAGATATGCAACAATTAGGGGCTCTTTGAGACTTGACCATTATTTTACGAACACGTTCCCCATTCAAACTACATTTTTCATGGTTGATCAGGATCATGAATTTTCATCACTCGATGGGGAGGTTGTTCTGTCCAGGGACTGGTTGAGCCATCTATTTGGCTTCGAGGAGCTCATGGACCAGATGTGCATGTCGATGGTAAAGCTTCAGGGCAGGTTACAATTCTCCCACAAAGCCCATCAAGGCGCGTGGCCCTGGCCACGGCCTCTGTGTTTGCAGCCCCCATGTTGCAGTGGTGCCAAATGACTTACCAGAAATGGTTGGTATAAACAATCAAACTTGGATGGTTGATTGTTGATGATTGTCGATGATCATTGATGCATCTTGATGATGATTTATGATTTATGTTTGATTCTTGATGATCATTGCCACTCCAAATCTTCGTCTTAGTCTTAGATCCGTAGACACCTTGACCACTCCTTTTTTCAGAAACGCTCGCAGACGCCACGGAAAGCGACAGCAGCGACAGCAGCGACGACAGCAGCGAGGAAAGTGACGCTGTCACTCCCGTGACGCCCACGCGCTCGGGACGAGTCGCCGTTGCCACCAAAGGCGCCATGGGATCGAACTGGGGGTGACGGTTAAATAGAAGCCCAAAGGGGTCCAGTTGTCGCTGAAAGATATATATTGTATATATATATATTATGAATTGTATGTTTGGATGATATGTTAGTATCATAGCGTTGCTTGGTTATTATCCCATCATACGAAAAATCCATCATATTAATCGCATATTCATATCATATCCTCATGATATGATATGGGTATCCCATGGAGGTCTTTCTGTTGAGGCTCCATGGGTCCATGTTCAATCTCCAGGCCCTGAGCGGCGCCGGAGCTTAAACGCCTGGATGCAGCAACGCCGTGATCAGCGAGGAGCGCCAGAGCTGGGCCATCGTGGTTTTATGTGTTTTTCATATTTGATATATGGCAGTGTGTCAAAACCTTGTACCCCTGGTGAACATCAAAATAGCTGGTAAATGGATGCTCATCCCCCTAAAAATGGTATTAATAGGTATTGATCCATACCCATTTGATATATGGAACGTAATGATTTTCATGAAATATATGAAATGATTAAATGTACTGCAATAAATTGTGTGATGTAATGTTGTGTAAAGATAGTTGGATGATGTTTGATGTATTGGGCTGATATCAATAGCTGCTGCTGCTGCTTCAGCCACAATTGTCGTTAAGTAGCGGATATATAAGTATATTTGGACGACCACCGCATTTGCAGAGAAGTAGGTAGCCATCGTTGCAAGGGAGGATGTTTTTGGTGGGGTCAACGAAAGAAAATGCAGATGCCAAATTCGGAAAGGCCGAAACAATTCGACGTTGTATGACGTTATGTTGTATTGACTTGGGCATCACAGTTGAAGATTGCTTATTCTAGTCTAGTAGATGAGATTTGTTTCAACAATCCAATTTGGGGATACCTCGACGGTTCTGCGAATCTCCCACTGGTTGGTGCTTTTTGGTGCTTTAAAGCCAGTAAATGGGACAAACGGTTGATTCTGATCAAGCGGTTGATGTTGTTACTATAGCCACTACACTCTGGTTATTTAACATAGCCATGGGAAATGACCCATTTATAGATGGTTTACCTATTAAAAATGGTGATTTTCCATGGCTATGTTAAATAGCCAGATGGTATATATATTGGAGCCATCGCTGATTCCAGGCACTACGAGACAGCGCACAACACAGGTTGGTGCAGCACCTCGATGGGATCCAGCATCCCCAAATTACCATGAATTTATGGCTGGCTTTTCCATGAATTTTTGGGTGGTTGATGATTGCTTTACTAATTTTACTAGCATCTAATAGCCATAAAAGGCCGCAGCTTGAATGTGGAAAACGATGAGAAAGCATGGGGGTTCAGGAAATTCCTATCCTTTTCAGACAAAGCTAGTTGATAGCCAGGGTGAAAGCTCCAAGCCGCAATTTTTGAGAGACCCACAAGTCATTCCAGCAGCGGCAACAAGGTGTCACACGCGCTCTTCAACAAGGAGAATGAGGCGCAAGCTGAGAGTGAAATCAGCCGCCAGAATTTACAAGGGAATAGATGAAGAAATAAAACAGCCGTCTGTAAATGGTGGCAATATGTGGCAATTTAGGCCACCTTAAACATACTTGAAGTCTTTGCATCGTGGTATGATACTGGATGCAGTTGTGGGCTTCAGTAGGCCCTGTTGCATGTGGCATCCGCGACTGTAGGACCTGATGCATGAAGCCAAGAGCATTCCGTCGGGCATGACGAAGTTTCTCTGCTACAATTTTGTGATGCCCCAGGAATCAGGAAGCGTTAGAGAATTGTTCACCATCATCAGCAAGATCATCATGATTATATATATATGTGATAATAAAGAAAAAATGATCAGAATGATGATAACAGTCATAGTCGTATTAGTGATTATTGTTCAACATGAATCCTGAGGAAGAGTCCCGCTTTGTTTCCTCATTTGGACCAATGATGACCAGTTGAAGATCCACGGGTTTTCCCAGGTTTAGAGCAAAGTTGGCCAGAGTGGTCCTCAGTTTTTCCTTTGAAGGGGCCTTTGGTGTCTTGTCCCTTGGCTCCCGCTCCGGGCTTATGCTGGAAATTGTCCACTTTGAGAATTGGTTGCCATGTTTTCTGATGTGGATGTTTAATCCTGGAAATGTGTCCATTAAACTTCGGAAAGTTGACATAGCAATCGGAGGTCCATGGTTATGTGTAGGATGATCCTGGATGATCTATCTATCTATGTATTTGATCTTATCTTATCTCATCCTATCTTATCTGATCTTATCTGATCTTATCCTATCCTTTCCTTTCCTATCCTATCCTATCTATCTGTCTATCCATCTATCCATCTATCCATCTATCCATCTAGCCACCTATCGACCTATCGACCTATCTACCTATCTACCTATCTACCTTTCTACCTATCTATCTAACTATCTATCTATCTATCTATCTATCCATCTATCTATCTATCTAACTAACTAACTAACTAACCAACTAACCAACTAACCAACTAACCAACTAACGAACTAACTAACTAATCTAACTAATCTAACTAATCTAACTAATCTATCTTTCTATCTATCCATCCATCCATCCATCTATCTATCTATCGATCTGTCTATCTATCTATCTATCTATCTAGCTATCTATGAACTTGGGCTGGAAGTTTCATAACCCACAATATGACCCACCATTTTAAACCCGTTTAATGTAATATTATAAAACCATTGAATATACCTTTAAATAAATTGAGATAGAGATATGCGGCCGTTTTTTCTTGGTTTCATGTAGTAGACCCCCTTCAGTATAACCTGGTTGTTTGAAATTATAAGCATGTTTTTTTCAGGGGGTGGCTCAACCAACAGGTTGGTATATGCCATTTACATGGGAATCAGTGAGATAACTGAGATAGCCAACAAACATCGGGCTTTACAAAAATTACATTCTAAGGTTGGCTACATCCCATTATATATATATATATATACTCATGATCTCCCATTTAACAGTGCAACATAGTGCAACACATTGAAGCCTTCCTGAATATTTCGGGAGATTCACGACCATGGTGACCATGGCATCGCGGCATCGCGGCGAGGATCTGCGCCAACACAATGGTCATGGCCTTCCAATCTGAGTTCAATGGCCTGGAAACCGGCTATAACGAAGGTGGGCAGCTGGGGAATGGGATTTTCATGGGATTTTCCATGGGATTTTCATGGGATTTTCATGGGATTCAATGGTGACCAAATAGGATAATCAATCATGGCTGCGAAATCTGCCATGGAGGTGTCCAGTTTCTAGCTGGGAAGATCATCGAACTAAATGGGGTAGTTTCCAGCCATGTTACACCAGGGTGTTTTTTGAGAAATGTGGATGATCAGATTGTTGGATTTCTGTGCCAAAGCGACACACGGTCACTGATTTACCATGATTTATCATTTGTCTATGGTATCTATGTTTATCGTCGATATTTATCTACGTCTCGGTTTATCTGAAACGAAGAGGTTTTTGATGATGTCTTTCAGAGGGTACCATGGATCTGGTAGGAACCAGGTTTGCCAATATCGGAGGACAAATCTACAGGCCTCATGATGCGAATTTGATGATTGAAAGCAGGTTTTCCGGATGGTCATTTTCCCTTAAAGCAAGGGAATTGTTGGACGGATTTCGCTGTTGATCGTCTCAGTTTTGCTTTCGAATCAGGATTCGATGGTGCCTTGGCAGGCAGTCAGAAGATGTTTGAACCAACCCATTAGATCCTTCTCTGGTGGATCACGTTGCGAAGTACCAGCGATTTTGACGTGAAAATGGGCTAAAGACGGTAAAATGTTTGGTTTTGAACCAACTGACACATCCAACCGTCAATCTTCCAAGGCCAATATAAACCCGGGAAACGAGGTATTGAGAGACCTGCCAAAGATATCTGGCCCAGCGCAGACGAGACCTTTTTGGTGCTGGAGTATTTCTTCGGAATTTTGTTCACAGTGGCAACTTGGCCGAAGAATTTGGATCAGCCTGCGAAAGGTCTTTGGGGTTACCCTCTGGTAAACGTTTACATCACTATGGAAAATCACCATTTTTAATGGGAAAATCCACTATAAATGGCCATTTTCAATAGCTATGTTAAATTAGCAGAGGGTAGGAGCCCCCAAAAACATCATGGAGACATCGGCCTGCAACAACTCTGCAGATCCGACTGATCAACAGCCGAGGAAATCGTGCTGAAGGTGATTGTGCTAGCCCACCATTTCTTCAAGGACCCGGGGCCCGGGGCTAGGCAAGGTTTATTCATGTTTATTCACAAGTCACAGAAATGATGGATTTGCAGGGAATCATTATATATCATTCCAGTGTTCTTTCCGGAGGAGTTCTGGTCTGCCCTGAATCCCCGAACTGATTTCGACCGGTTCAGTGGTGAATTCGTCAGGACATGTGGAATCTCATGGACTTTGCTGTTGTGGCAGCCTCTCGCCAGCAGTCAGTGAATCTCATCCCCCGAATACGGTCCCAACACGCCCAACAAAAACGGTCCCAAAGATGTGGTGTCATCCCCTGTCAAACCCGTTTCACATTAGGGGGATGGGATATGTTCAGATATTTTCCATATATTGGGGGATGTTCATATATACATACATACATACATACATACATAGATACATACATACATACATGCATGCATACATACATACATACATATATACATATACATATACATACATACATACATACATACATAGATACATACATACATACATGCATGCATGCATACATACATACATATATATATATACATACATACATACATACATATATATATATATACATACATATATGATATATGTTCCATATATGAACTGTTGACTGACCATGATTAACCCATTCCATCCGCTGAGAGGTGTGGTACTTGGAGACGCTCACGGGATCCGATAACCTGCCTATTCATCCCATGATGCTGCGGCTGTTTCGCTTGGTGAAGCTTAGCAGGGTAGCCCCTTGGCAGATGGGGATATACTGGGAGATATTCATGGATTCCCATTGGAAAACCATAGGAAAACCATAGGAAAATGGTGATTTAATGGTGATTAATCCATAATTAATGGTGATTAATGGTGATTAATGGTGTTTTACCCTCTGGTAAACGTTTACATAGCTATGGAAAGGTCCACCATTTTTCATGGGAAAATTCACTATTTCTATGGCCATTTTCAATAGCTATGTCCCATTAATGGATACAATGGGACATACCCGGCCTGGTAAACATACAAAAAGCTATGGAAGCCATGGCCCATAGAAATAGATGGTTTACCTATTAAAAATGAGGTGATTTTCTATAGCTATGTAAACGTTTACCAGAGGGTAATGGTTCATGAGATATGATAGGATATAATATGATAGGGATACAGTGGGATATTTCATGAAATGTAGTGGGATTTTTTCCGGCTATATCGGGAACCCTCCAGACATCAAACATAGCGAAATTCACCACTGTGAGATATCCATGAAATGCGGATGATGTTCCTATTAAACATAGGGATAACCATCAGACATGGTGGTTACCCTACCTTTATTTTGCACCCAGCACCGGCAAATGGATGGTGAATTTGATCAGGTGAGACTGGTGAGGATTCTGGAAAAGTACGATGCCTTGTACTTGTGTCTTGGCATTCATAGAAGTAGCTCAGTTTTCTAGATCCAATCTCCAGATTTTTATCTGCTCGCCTTGGATGTATATAAACACCTGTTTTTTTTTGCGAAACCGTGATCGGTTTGGATCAAAACTTCTCCGGGTTTTGTTTGTAGTTCAAAAAGCAAGACCCGTGGATTGTTCTTCACATTTTCTTGACACTACATGTTTCAAAACAATCATTGTGTTCTTTGTTCCACACCTTTCCATGTTCAAGGGCTTTTTCGAAGTTTAAACCAGTCCGTCGACTTGCACCGATGAATTTTGAGCAAATGACTATCCATGGCTACCCCAAAGAATGTATGAATTATGAAATCACAGTTTGCAATGTGTGTCTAGTAGATACTATGTTGGTTATGTGAAAATAGTTATTATGATTGATAAATAATTATCAAATAGATAAAGGGAAATACGCAACAATTAAGATACATCGAGATACTATACAACACATATTGACACGTTTCCAATTTAAACACTATAGACAAATCTAGATACTATAAGCTAAGTGTTTGGTACCCTGTCCCTTTAAAAGAATCAGCATAATACAAGATATATAGATAACACAAATGTTTGGAGTGTACATATATATATATATAGAGAGAGAGAGTTAGTAATTCCCCCCAAAAGAAAGAAAAGTTATGCATCACTCTTTCAGAATCGAATTCTGCATTTTTTTGGGTTGCTATGTATACATAGATACTCTACATATAAATAGCGATATATAGATATACATCGAATAGATCCATACATACATACATACATACACATATATATATACATACATATATGTATATATAGATATCCAAATTCAGCCAAGTGTCGGGTACAGTATATACAATGGATAGTATACAACAACATTTAAAGAGAATGCTGTAATGTAGACATTATAGACAAATTTTAGACACTATATGATACTATACTAAAGGTTTTAAGGGGTACCGTTCAGAAGAAATATTGTCATTGACCCAGATACGGGTGTAGAGAACACGAATGTGTCATAAAGAATTTTCACATAGATAGATCGATAGGTAGGTAGGTAGATAGGTAGGTAGGTAGGTAGGTAGATAGGTAGATAGGTAGATAGGTAGATAGGTAGATAGGTAGATAGGTAGGTAGGTAGGTAGATTGGTAGATAGGTAGGTAGGTAGATAGATAGATAGGTAGGTAGGTAGGTAGATAGGTAGGTAGGTAAATAGGTAGATAGATAGGTAGATAGATAGGTAGGTAGGTAGATAGGTAGGTAGATAGATAGATAGGTAGAAAGGTAGATAGGTAGGTAGGTAGATAGGTAGGTAGGTAGATAGGTAGATAGGTAGGTAGGTAGATAGATAGGTAGGTAGGTAGATAGGTAGGTAGGTAGATAGGTAGATAGATAGATAGGTAGGTAGATAGATAGGTAGGTAGGTAGATAGGTAGATAGGTAGGTAGGTAGGTAGATAGGTAGGTAGATAGGTAGATAGGTAGGTAGGTAGATAGGTAGATAGATAGATAGGTAGGTAGGTAGGTAGAAAGATAGGTAGGTAGGTAGATAGGTAGGTAGATAGGTAGATAGGTAGGTAGGTAGGTAGATAGGTAGATAGATAGGTAGGTAGGTAGATAGATAGGTAGGTAGGTGGATAGGTAGGTAGATAGATAGGTAGGTAGGTAGGTAGGTAGATAGGTAGGTAGGTAGATAGGTAGATAGATAGGTAGGTAGATAGATAGATAGGTAGGTAGGTAGATAGGTAGGTAGATAGATAGGTAGGTAGGTAGGTAGACAGGTAGGTAGGTAGATAGGTAGATAGATAGGTAGGTAGGTAGATAGGCAGGTAGGTAGATAGGTAGGTAGGTAGATAGGTAGGTAGGTAGATAGGTAGGTAGGTAGATAGGTAGGTAGGTAGATAGGTAGATAGGTAGGTAGGTAGGTAGATAGGTAGGTAGATAGGTAGGTAGGTAGATAGGTAGATAGATAGGTAGGTAGGTAGGTAGGTAGATAGGTAGATAGATAGGTAGGTAGGTAGGTAGGTAGGTAGATAGGTAGGTAGGTAGATAGGTAGGTAGGTAGGTAGATAGGTAGATAGATAGGTAGGTAGGTAGATAGGTAGGTAGGTAGGTAGATAGGTAGATAGATAGGTAGGTAGGTAGATAGGTAGGTAGCTAGATAGGTAGATAGATAGGTAGGTAGATAGGTAGATAGATAGATAGATAGGTAGGTAGAAAGATAGGTAGAAAGATAGGTAGGTAGGTAGACAGGTAGGTAGGTAGATAGGTAGGTAGGTAGGTAGATAGGTAGATAGATAGGTAGGTAGATAGATAGGTAGGTAGGTAGATTGGTAGGTAGATAGATAGATAGGTAGGTAGATAGATAGATAGATAGGTAGGTAGGTAGATAGGTAGATAGGTAGGTAGATAGATAGGTAGATAGGTAGATAGGTAGGTAGGTAGATAGGTAGATAGATAGATAGATAGGTAGGTAGGTAGGTAGATAGGTAGGTAGGTAGATAGGTAGATAGATAGGTAGATAGGTAGATAGATAGGTAGATAGGTAGATAGATAGGTAGATAGATAGGTAGGTAGATAGGTAGATAGATAGGTAGGTAGGTAGATAGGTAGGTAGGTAGGTAGATAGGTAGATAGGTAGATAGGTAGGTAGGTAGATAGGTAGATAGATAGGTAGATAGATAGATAGGTAGGTAGATAGGTAGGTAGGTAGATAGGTAGGTAGGTAGATAGGTAGGTAGATAGGTAGGTAGGTAGGTAGATAGGTAGCTATAGGTAGATAGATAGGTAGGTAGATAGCTATATGTAGATAGCTATAGGTAGATAGCTATAAGTAGATAGCTATAGGTAGATAGCTATAGGTCATAAACACTATATGGGTCATATAACAAATTGGCGCCGATCTCCAAATATCTCCGGGAGACCGGTCGAGGATGATCGCCTCGATCCGGGGCAGCGTAGCAGCGCTGGCCTGGTCCACGATTCTGCTGCTGGTGGTGCCCTGGAACTGGGAACGTTTTTGAGGAGAAAAAACGAGTGGATCTGATGAAGAAAACAGATGGATTTAGAGTGGATGTATAGCTCTGATTTCTGATTATATCTGGTGGATTTGAATTGAAAGTTTGAAGCATCACCAAGTGTTTTTGTATTTCTGGATGAATTATAACGACCTCCGGTCGCGATGTCACTGCAATGATGGCTCGGAGTGAGAACAATGAGATAACTATCCCAAAAAACTGGCCAATTTTCAGGGCATGGGCAGGAGAACGGAAGATGGGTGGCCGAACCTTTCAGCTTTGTCGATGATTGTAGTTTATCCTGACAAAAGAAAGCCTGGGCCATGCCCATGCAGGTTATTGTGCTTTCATGTAGAATACAGTATACACCATATATGTTTGAGAAAGATTGGGATTCTTTTCGCAGGGGAAAAAAAGTACTCAATCAAAACGAAACAATGTTACAATGTTTCTGGCCAAAAAATCGTATCAAAATGGCAGAGTAAATGAGAAAATCTTGAGGTTTAGGAAGGGTCCCGTCTTCTGACACGGAGTCGTCCGAGGTGCAAATGATGCTGGCGCTGTTCATGACAACCATCTTGGAGGAAGGGGTGTTTCAGCTGGCAGCTGATTGTTGAGACAATCGATGGCCATTTTG